CGTGCCCTGCTGGACCGCGTCTTCTGCATCCTCAGCCCCAGCCCGCCTCCCTCAATCCCGGAGGGAGAAGACCCCAAGGGGAGGAGACGGGCCTAATCCTTGCCCCTAGCACCATGTCTCCAGGTTGGAGTCTGAATCGGCCTCGGAACCCTGCTTGGCCTCGGGGACCCCTGCAAGACCGCCGTCGATTCTTCCTCCTGCTCTTCATCCTCCCCAGATCTCTCCCAGGAACCCTTCATGGTTACGCCCCTTTCGCAGTCTCAAACACTGAGGAGGCGACCGCTGGGCGTCTCACCCAGAGCGCGGCCCGGGATGTGGGCGGAGTCTGAGGCTGCGATGACCACTCGAATGTGGCGTCCATCGACTGGCGTCCGCCACGGCCAATAGCGACGCCCTTCTCCGCGGCTGTCGCCCGGGCAACCCGGTGTTGTTGGTTGCCGTAGAAACAGCGGCCGGACTGTGCTGAGGCTCCTCGCCTGAGCGGATAAACTGCACGCGCCATGGGCCGTGCACTGGGTTGGGCGCCTTGTGGGCGTTTATCCTCCCTGCTTCCCTAGGGGGTTCCAGCATCGCCCCACTTTCACGGACTGGGAAACACACCTAACTCCAGGACTTGTGTTTTCCTCACTGCACTGGGGAAAGTGGTGGGGACACCTCTTCAGTAGGGCTTGGGGAACTGCACAGAGCCAGGTCACCCTCTGATTCTGTGGCTCTCAGTTCTCTTGCATGCTCTAGTCTTTGGATACGCTGCTCCCGGCACCAGGAACCTCCATCCCCGTCTTTGTCTGCTTTTGAACTTCAGAAATCTGCAAGTGTCAGCTCAGAGGTCACTTCTGAAGCTTTCCACAACACCCTCCCAGCCCCTCTGCTGCTGCCCTCAGGCCGTCCTCTCACAGCACTGATAACAGCTGTCCTTGCCAGAGGACAGAGGACAGGGACAGAGCTGCTGTTCTCTGTGTGTCAAGGCCCAGCAAAGGGAATGTAGGGAGGTGGGAGGTGCAGGGCAGCTGGAGTTAGGGGCCGACGGCTGGGTGTTGGAGGCTGGATCCTGCTCTAGTGGAAGTGTCCCTTTAACAGCAGCTGCCTGGCCTGGCTCGGGCCCTGCTTTGCCTCCTGTTCTGCTGTGCCTGCAGCTGCCATGCTGACTCATGTGCCCGAAGCTAGCAGGAGCTGGCAGCATGGGCTCCCCAGGGGCCACAGTAGGCTGGGGGCTTCTGGATTATAAGACGGAGAAGTATGTGATGACCAGGAACTGGCGGGTGGGCGCCCTGCAGAGGCTGCTGCAGCTTGGGATCGTGATCTATGTGGTGGGGTAAGAGAGAAGAGCTTTGGCCAGGCTGGAGGGGCAGGGGAAGAGGTGGGGGCGAGGCTTGGTCCTGCTGCGTTGAGGTTGAGGGTTGGGCTCTTTAGGGGCTGGAGGGGAGGGGGCCAGATTGGGATGGGGTGGGAGGTAGGTGATACAAGACGGGAGAACAAGAACAAGCTGTGAGTTTGTCCTGTGTGCCCACCTGCCTCCTTCCCAGCCCCTCCCCAGAACCCCACCCAGGGGGCACAGGACACCCTCCTTAACATCTGTGAGAGCTAGAGCACTAGGCCCCCAGAGAGACCACCAGCTGTAGCTCGGGTCAGGGGAGCTGGCTCTATTGAGGCTGGGGGTGGTGCTGGCTGGTGAAGGTGATTGAGGGCACTGGCTCTCTGGTGCGTAGCTGGAGCTTCTATCTTATTCAGGGGGTCTGGGGTGGGAAGTGAGGCCAGAGAGGAGGTGGGGCCCTCGATACTGGGCTGGGAGCCTATAGGGTATGGGGAGAGAACTGAGCATGTGGGGCCCAGCTCTGCACCTGTCACTACACACTGGGGACACACCACACTGCCCATCTTCTCCTGTTCAGGTGGGCTCTCCTCACCAAAAAAGGCTACCAGGAGCGGGACCTGGACCCCCAGGTTTCCATCATCACCAAACTCAAAGGGGTTTCTGTGACTCAGATCAAGGAGCTTGGAAACCGGCTGTGGGATGTGGCTGACTTCGTGAAGCCGCCTCAGGTGGGGGCCCTGGTGCTGCTGACAGGGCTGCAAGTCCTTTGCCCACCGAGAGCTTGGACCCCTGCCATGCAGCCAGTGTGTGCGAGAGAGAAGCATGTGATGTCAGAGATGGCTGGGGGGGTTGGAGGGTTCTCAGGAAGGGCTTCACAGAGGAGTAGCTCCTGGACAGGACTTTTGGGGATGTATAGGAGGTTTCTGGGTGGGAAAATGGTCTGGTCAAGAAGCCGGGCCAGAGAGACTGCATTTCCAAAGGTTGCCAACAGAAAAGAAAGGAGTATCTGGGACTAATGGCTTGAGCTTGAGAGTGGTGTGGGAGGGCCATGGGGGGCTGAAGCCTGGAACTTCCTGCAGCCCTGCTCCCTCACCTGGGGAACCCTGGTCAGGTGCTCCTCCTCTGCTCTTCTTGGCTGCGTTTCCCTCCTCCTTCCACCCAGCTCATCCACAGCCTCAACTTCCACCCCTGCTCTTCCGATGCCCAGGATGTAGCCCCAGTGACCACTTGCCCAGAGCACAGCTGTCTTCCAGGTGCACACCCACGTGTCCAAAGATCAATTGTTTCCCTCTCCTGGCATGGCCTCTGTGACATCCACTAGTCACGAGGGCTGTGACATCCACTAGTGCCTCAGCCAGACCCAGGACTCAGTCTCAGCCCCTTCCTGTCCGTTCTCACATTTTTCACTGCTGCCATGCCATGGCTGCATGAGTCTATGGCCTCCTGGAGGGCCCTTAGATGCCCCTCTCGCCCACTCCCTACTGCTCGGTGCACACCACGCAGCAGCCAGGCTGAGCTTTCACGTCGGGCATCATCGGAGTCTGCAGCCCCTGCTTCGACCCTCAGGAGCCCCCCAGACCCGCCCATGACAGTGTCTACACATTCCTCCCAATCCTAATGGCTGCCACTCCCACCACCCTCTGTCCAGCCCTCGCCTTCCCTTCCTGAGCATGCATTCCCCAAATTCAGTCTCTCCAAGCAGCACTGGAGGGTCAGCTTTTCTTTCCAATGTCTTTGTCCACCTGTTAATCCCAGGCGGAGTTTTCTGTCTTCTCCCTGCTATGCTAGTGCAGCTGTGTGTGTGTGATGGAGACTCACCTCCTCTCTATCCTGGGCAGGTGTTGGGCCCAATTCTCCCCTGGCTCTTCAGTATTAGAAGCAGGAGGCTGTTGGAATATTCTGGTTGAAGCCGGGAGTGGTAGCTGGAACCTGTAGTCCCAGCTACATGGGAGGCCGAGGCAGGAGGATCAAAGGTGACTTCCTCCTTGAGCCCAGGAGTTAGAGGTTGCAGTGAGCACTGATCATACCACTGCACTCCAGACTGGATGACTAAGTGAAACCTTGTCTCTAAATACTCACACACACACACACACGCTCTCTCTCACACACACACACACACACACACACTCACACACATAAATTTTGGTTGAGCAAATGAGAACGATACTTGTCTTGAGAGATGGACACAGGCATGAGGCTTCCTGGTCTCAGAAATGGCCAGAACCCCTGCCAGCCTCCCATCTCTGCTTCAGTCTGCCTCGCGGGGGGACAGCGTTAATGACTTGATGGGGCCAAGATCCCTTCCCTCATAAACCAGGCTGCCAGCTGTGGGCCTTTCCAGTCAATGCGAGCCTGGCCAGGCCAACCTTAAGACTTGCCTCCTAGGGAGAAAACATGTTCTTCTTGGTGACTAATTTCCTTGTGACGCCAGCCCAAGTTCAGGGCAGATGCCCAGAGGTGAGTTTGCCCCGGAGCCTCCCAGTGGGCCCTCGTTCCTCCGCCGGCCCCAGGTGGCCACCCGTGTTTCCCTTTCTCCTTCCCAGGTGGCTGAAGCTCAGCACGTGCTTGGTGTCCTGCAGGCGCTGGGCTACATCTTTTCGTAAATCATTTCGTTCAGTCTTCACATATCCCCTGCCTGGTAGGAGCTCCTGTGTTCCCCATTTCAGAGGCGAAGACTGAGGATCAGTGAGGTTGACTCACTTTCTCAAGGCCTCCCAGCCTGTAGGTGACAGGACTCTGAGCTCTGGGCAGCAGCAGTTCCCGTGAGGTGCCCAGGCCCTCCCCATCCTGGTCCTGCCTCTGGGTACTCTCCAGGTTGTTAGTGTGTTACCCAGAGCTGGGCACATGCTCAAGGAGGTTCTAGGAGGAAGAGCCAAGGTGGAATATCACCTCCCCTTCTCTGTGTCCAGCCTCTATTAATGCGTCCTGAGACAGCTTGCATCTTTGTGGGCCAACACAACACACTCTTGCTCATGCTGAATTCAGAATTGCTTATGACCTCTGGATAGCTTTTACATCAACCACGGTCAAGCCAGAGTCCCCCACCTTGTTCTTCTTCATTTCTGATCCAGAAATGCTCATTCTCCTCCTGACATCTCATCTTTTCCCCTTGCCTGGAAATGTTTCTGGAATCCTGCCTCTGTCACAAAGCACACTCATTCTCCTCTCCAGCTGTGGATTTTGTTTGAACTGTTGGGTCTCAGGACATAGTCCTGAAAATCTACCTCCATGGTGACATCTATCTTTAAGCAAGTCCAAGACTTCCCTGCTTGCTGGGCTGGAGGGTCATTGTGCAGACACCTGTCCCCTGAGCCCTGCTGGTTGGTCCTAGCACAGTTGCTGGAGATGTCCCATGTCCGTTGTTGGAAATGTGCACAAAGGATGTGCCTACTCTTAGTGAACCCACACAATGTCCTTCCCTTTCTTAATGCTCAGGTGTCTATTTAGTATTCAGTTTGTAGGCTGTTCTGAAATTTGGCTGGACCCGTGGGTCAATGTTTTTCAGAATCTGTGCAATTCCTCTTTGTCTGTAACCACACTTCTGACTCTTCCTGAAACACCAGGGCTGGGCCATCATTAACCAGATCTGACAACCTGGCTTCCCCAGAAGACCAGAGTCCTGCCAGCTCCTTTCGGGATGCTGGCACCTGATCTCTCCCACACGTGCACTGTGCTCCTTACAGTGTCACCTCCGTCAGCAGACACCGCTGAGCCTCCCCACTGGGCCAGGGGGCTAGCTGTGCTGAATTCACAAAACTCCATCTCCATCTCCCATATCTCAAGGGCCACCTGCATGGACAGCGCAGCCAAAGTGGCAGGTCCTATGATGGGACAGAGGCTGTAGCTAGGGGACCCAGGGTTGCACTTGAGCAGAATCTTTTTGTTTGTTTGTTTGAGACAGAGATTTCACCCTTATCACCCAGACTGGAGTGCAGTGGCCCGATCTCGGCTCACTGCAACCTCCACCTCCTGGGTTCAAGCTATTCTCCTGCCTCAGCCTCTGGCGTGACTGGAATTACAGGCGCATGTCACCACACCCAGCTAATTTTTATATTTTTAGTAGAGACAGGGTTTCACCATGTTGGTCAGGATGGCCTCGAACTCCTGACCTCAGGTGAGCTGCCCACCTTGGCCTCCCAAAGTGCTGGGATTACAGGTGTGAGCCACCATGGCCGACCGAACAGAATCTTAAAGGGTAAGAGGGTGGATTTGGTTGGAGCAGGACGTGCAGGCAGAGGGAACTTGGTGGGCAAAGTCCCTGAGCTGTGAGAGGTGAGGCACCTTTAGGACTACTGCCACACAGTGGAGCTGAAGTGGAGATTTAGACTAGAGGGGGAAAAGGCAGTTCAGGATCTCAGGGGTCCCTGTAAGCCCCACTAAGGAGCTAAGCTTTTTTTTTTTTTTTTTTTTTTTTGAGACAGGGTCTCACCCTGTTGCCCAGGCTAGAATGCAGTGGTGTGATCACAGCTCACTGCAGCCTTGACATCCTGGGCTCAAGCAACCTTTCCGCCTCAGTCTCCTGAGTAGCTGGGATTACAGGTGGGCGCCACCAGAACCGGCTATTAAACTTTCTTTTTTTTTTCCATAGCGATGGAGTCTTGCTTTGTTGCCCAGGCTGGTGTCAAACTCCTGGGCTCAGGCAGTCCTCCCACCTTGGCCTCTCAAAGTGCCAGGATTACAGGCGTGAGCCACCATGCCTGGCTGGAGCTAAACTTGATTAGAGGAGCAGAAGGGAGCCACGCGTGGGCTCAGAGGAGGGGTGCTCAATCCCCTGCACACTGGGGTGCACCACTTGGACTGCTGGGGGGAGGTGGATGAGGGCAGGGAGAGACGAGGGGGCCCCATTGGTGGTCACTGTGGGGTCCAGTTGGAGGAGTTGGTGGCCCAGCCGGGGTGGAGAGAAGGAGCAGAACAGGACATAGGAAGGGACAAAGAAGCAGAGCATGTGGCTCCACTCAGCCCTCCACCCAATCACGATGGCCCTCTCTTTCAGAAAGTCCCACCGCCTCATTCTGGCTTCTCAGAGGCCCTCAGCCTTTCTTGCACCCCTGGTGCTGTGTTCCTTCTGCTGCCCCTGAGCTGAATGCCCTGGACAGCAGTGTCCATCCTCAGCTGGGGTAGGACTGTGCCTGGGAGAGTGCCCAATGCTCAAGGGTGCCTTTGTCTCTGAGTCTGGGAGCCCAGAAAGCTCACCCATCCTCCCCTTCTGCCAGAGCCCCATAGATCTGTGCCTCTGTGCAGGCATTAATGTCCCTGAGTTACAGAAGAGCGAGTAGGAAGGAGTAGCCTGCGGCGCCTCAGTAAGGGCGTCGGGTCCTGCTTCAATATCCAAGCCCCTGTGACTCTAGGGTCCTGATCTTTGTCAGCCATGCCCCCATGCCAGCCATCAAGAACTTGCTCTCCCAAGGTATCTTCACCTTCCCTGTTCTGTTGTCCAAATTGGACCAGAGGAGCTAGACCTGGAAGAATCACTTCTGCGTCCACCAAGGACAGAACTGTCAGGAGGGAAGGGGCAGGCTGTGTTGTCTCACACCTGTAATCCCAGCACTCTGGGAGGTCAAGACCGAAGGATTGCTTGAGGCCAGGAGTTTAAAACCAGCCTGGTCAACACGGCAGAGACTCTATCTCTACAAAAGAAACATTAAAAAATCAGCCAGCCACAGTGGTATGCGTCTGTAGTCCCAGCTACTGGGAAAGCTGAGGTGAGAGGATTGCTTAAGCCCAAGAGGGTGAGGCTGCAGTGAGCTGTGATCGCACCACTGCACTCCAGCCTGGGCAGCAGAGTGAGACCTCCTCGCTAAAAACAAATGTTTTAAAAAAGGAGGAAAGGGGTCTCCCTTTGTCTTTGAAATACAGCACTCTACCCTCCTTTGGCCAGGGCGTTGCTCCGCTCCCTCCTGTGACCACCTCTGTTTTCTGTTTTTTTTTTTTTTTTTGAGACGGAGTCTGGCTCTGTTGCGCAGGCTGGAGTGCAATGGCGTGATCTCAGCTCAGTGCAACCTCTGCCTCCCGAGTTCAAGCAATTCTCTTGTCTCAGCTTCCTGAGTAGCTGAGATTATAGGCACATACCACCACACCTGGCTAATTTTTGTATTTTTAATAGAGATGGGGTTTCACCAAGTGGTCAGGCTGCTGTTGAACTCCTGACCTAGTGATCTGCCTGCCTTGGCCTCCCAAAGTGCTGGGATTACAGGTGTGAGCCACCAGGCCCAGCTGACCACCTCCTTTGACTTGCGCCCTCCAGCTTTCCCGTGTGGCTCCACATTCAGGGTACTCTGGCAGCCAGGTGGTGGGGGGGTCTCAGGTGGGAAGGGGGCCTGTCCTTCCCATCTTGAACCTCCCTGCCTTTGAGACTGGGTTGTGGAGGGGAGACATCCCCTGTGCCATCGGTGACTGCTCTCTTGCCCACCTCAGCACCCTTCTGTCCCACTGGCTAACTGCTGGGCCGACGAGGACTGCCCCGAAGGGGAGAGAGGCACGCACAGCCACGGTAACTGTGGGCTCGGTCTTCCAGTGCCCTGCCAGGGTGGGGGCCGGGCTGGGATCCTGGGTGGCTCCTGAGTACAGGCCCCGCTCGCCTCTGTCCCTGCATCTCTTATTCTGCCAACAACCCCCTGGCTGACACTTTCCCCAGCCCTGTGGAGATTTAAGGGTCTGGAGTTCATCTGTGTTTTCAAGGCATAAAAACAGGCCAGTGTGTGGTTTTCAATGGGACCCACAGGACCTGTGAGATCTGGAGTTGGTGCCCGGTGGAGAGTGCTGCTGTGCCCTCGTAAGTGTCCCCGCAATCCCCCAGCCCCGCCTGCGCAGGGTCCCAGGCCTGGCAGAGGGCCTCACCTTCCCTCCACCTGCAGGAGGCCCCTGCTGGCCCAGGCCCAGAACTTCACACTGTTCATCAAAAACACCGTCACCTTCAGCAAGTTCAACTTCTCCAAGTAAGCAGAGTGGGTCTCATCTGGCCCAAGATCCTCCTTGTCCCCTACCTCTTCTGACCTCCCCCACCCCTCCCAGGTCCAATGCCTTGGAGACCTGGGACCCCACCTATTTTAAGCGCTGCCGCTATGAACCACGATTCAGCCCTTACTGTCCTGTGTTCCGCATTGGGGACCTCGTGGCCGAGGCTGGAGGGACCTTCGAGGACCTGGCGTCACTGGTGGGTCCCGAGTTGGGGGCCAGGTTCCTGGAGGGCTCTGGGAGAGGGTCCCGGGCCCACCCACTGGTGGAACTGCTATGTGCTGTGTGCAGGGTGGCTCTGTGGGCATCCGGGTTCACTGGGATTGTGACCTGGACACCGGGGACTCCGGCTGCCGGCCTCACTACTCCTTCCAGCTGCAGGAGAGGAGCTACAACTTCAGGTGCGGCCCCACTGCTCCCAGTGCCCAGCTGCTGTGCCTTGGCCAGCATCCCCTCTCCCTGTGGCGGCCAGGACAGACCACACCTAGGCCCAGCCCTTTGGATATTCCACTGCGTGTGCAAGGGGGGTCCCAGGAGCAGAGAGAGCCGTTCTCAACCCCACATCCTCCAGCACAGGCTCCATCCTGCTCCCCCAAGTCCTGAGCCCTCCATCCCATCTGTTCCAGGCCCCTGCCCAGCTCAGGGTCCTCACTGCCAGCTCTTTCTCCACCCCACACCCCATTCCCTCCACAGCAATGGGGTCTTTCATTTTTACTTTCCCCTTCAGGGTTTTTTTGGTTTTGTTTTTAGACAGAATCTCATTCTGTCACCCAGGCTGGAGTGCAATGGCCCGATCTCGGCTCATTGCAACCTCCGCTTCCTGGGTTCAACTGATTCTCTTGCCTCAGCCTCCTGAGTAGCTGGAATTACGGGTGCCTGCCACCACTCCCAGCTAAATTTTTATATTTTGGTAGAGATAGGGTTTCATGATGTTAGCCTGTCTTAAGCCCCTGACCTCAGGTGATCCACCAACCTCAGCTTCCCAGAGTGCTGGGATTACAGATGTGAGGCATCGTGCCCGGCTTCCCTTCAGCTTTTACCTAAAAATTTTCAAAAAACTCTAGACAAGCTTAAAGATGGGTACCATGAACACCTATATATCTTCATTTGGGTTTACCAGTTCTTTGTTTTACCATCGGGTCACATTTTCTTTCTCTCTCCCTGTCCAGAGTGAACTGGATAGATTTAGATAGATTTCAAATAGAACTGTTTGAAAGTAGGTGGCAGACATTCAGACTCTCATCCTTTCAACGTTGTCACCAGAACAGGGACCTTCCCCATGTAACCACTCTTATTGTTTTGCTAAAGAAATTGATCTTTGGGTGCAGTGGCTCATGCCTGTAATCTCAACACTTTGGGAGGCTGAGGGAGGAGGATCACCTGAGCCCAGGAGTTTGAGACCAACCTGGGCAAGTTAGGGAGACCCCCATGTCTACAAAAAATGCTTTTAAAAATTAGCTGAGCACGATGGCAGACACCTATGGTCCCAGCTACTCAGGAGGCTGAGGGGGAGGATCGCTTAAGCCAGGAAGACTGAGTCTACAGTGAGCCATGAGCATGCCACTGCACTCCAGTCAGGATGACAGAGTGAGACAGAAAGAAAGAAAGAAAGAAAAAAACAGAGAGAGAGAGAGAGAGAGAGGAGAGAGAGAGAGAAAAGAAAAGAAAAGAAAGCAAGCAATTGACATTTAGCAGAGTAAGTCTTTTTTAATTTTTAAGAAATAATATAGAGATGGAGGTCTCAATATGTGGACCAGACTGGTCTTGAACGCCTGGCCTCAAGCGATCCTCCCACCTCAGCCTCTCAAAGTGCTGAGATTACAGGTATGACCCACTGCTCTTGGCTGGCAGAATAAATCTCATACTTAATATTCCCCAGCTGTGACAACAGTGACCCTAAACCTTTATACTTCCCAATCTAGGATGCACTCAAGGATCTTTTTTGTTTTGTTTTGTTTTTGAGATGGAGTTTTGCTCTCGTTGCCCAGGCTGGAGTGCAATGGTGCAATCTCGGCTCACTCTAACCTCTACCTCCAGGGTTCAAGCGATTCTCCAGCCTCAGCCTCCGGAGCAGCTGGGATTACAGGCACACGCCACCATGCCCAGATAATTTTTGTATTTTTAGTAGAGATGGGGTTTCTCCATGTTGGCCCGGCTGATCGTGAACTTCTGGTGATCCACCGGCCTTGGCCTCCCAAAGTACTGGGATTACAGGCATGAGCCATCACATCTGGCCTTTTTTTTTTTTTTTTTGAGATGAAGTTACTCTTTTGACGCCCAGGCTGGAGTGCAGTGGCCTGATCTCGGCTCACTGCAACCTCTGCCTCCTGGGTTCAAGCGATTCTCCTGCCTTACCTCTCGAGTAGCTGGGATTACAGGAACATGCCACCATACCCAGTTAATTTTTGTATTTCTAGTAGAGATAGGGTTTCACCATGTTTGCCAGGCTGGTCTTGAACTCCTGATCTCAGGTGACCCACCCGCCTTGGCCTCCCAAAGTGCTGGGGTTATAGGCATGAGGCACTCCACCCGGCCTCAAGGATCTTAAATTGCATTTGTTATCATGTCTGTGAGTCTCCTAAGCAGACCTATAGGATGCTTCCGCCACAGAGTGTCACCTTGTCATGCAGGCAGGCACACACGGCCACCAGGCCTGGGATGATGCCCCTCAACATGGCTCACTGCACCCTGTCTGGTCTGGCCTCCCTGACCTCCCCAGCCCTTGGAACCATGCGGGCCTGGCCCCCACCCACATCCTGTTTCCCTGACCTCTGTGCTGGCAAGCCATCTGCCTGCATGTTCCTCCAGGCCCAGCCTCATGTCCCCTCCAGGAAGCCTACCCCAGTACCCAGGGAAGAGTGAGTTCCCATCTCTGAAATCTCTTGGCCCTGAGCCTACCCCTTCCCATTGCCTACTGCTGGGTCTGTTTAGGGACTCTTCTGTGCCCCTGTCCCCTCAGCAGGCAGGGAACTTCTGAGGGACAGCTCTTGTTTTTTTTTTTTTTTTTTTTAATGTTTTCTCACCAATTACACAGGGCTGAGACCCAGGACTCAGGCTTGGGCTGGGGGTTTATGGAGTCAATGGACCAGTGAGACAGAGGCTTGGCAGGGCCAGCCCCACCTGGGGGTGGGCAAAGCAGGCCACCAGAGCCCTCTCTCCTGCCCCTAGGACAGCTACTCACTGGTGGGAGCCACCGGGTGTGGAGGCCCGCAGCCTGCTCAAGCTCTACGGAATCCGCTTCGACATCCTCGTCACTGGGCAGGTAGGCACAGGTAGGGGTCAGGGCTGGGACGGGAGGGGCCGGCAGACAGGGCTGGAGGAGGCATGAGGCCGACAGTCATGGGCTGAGAGGTTCAGCTCAGATTTCTCTCAGGCAGGGAAGTTCGGGCTCATCCCCACGGCGGTCACACTGGGCACCGGGGCAGCTTGGCTGGGCGTGGTGAGTGCGAGTACCTTGGGCGCCCGCAGGCTACAGTGAGCACCACTGACCAGGGTGTGCCCGATGCATGCTGAAGCCTCCTGTGCCTTTCCACTGAGTCTCGGGTGCAGGCTGGGGAGGTGGAGGGCGGGCTGGGGGGCTGGAACACGGGTTGGCCCTGCATCTCCCAGGTCACCTTCTTCTGTGACCTGCTGCTGCTGTACGTGGACAGAGAAGCCCATTTCTACTGGAGGACAAAGTACGAGGAGGTGAGCTGAGGTCACTCTGCTTGGACGCTGGGTTCTGCCACACTTCGGAAGATGTGGCTGGATCCCTGACCTGCTGTCCTCATCTGCAGGCCAAGGCCCCGAAGGCAACCACCAACTCTGTGTGGAGCGAGCTGGCCCTTGCATCCCAAGCCCGACTGCCCAAGTGCCTTGGCCAGAGCTCAGCATCTGCACCCACAGCCACTGCTGCTGGGAGTCAGACACAGACACCAGGGCGGCCCTTTCCAAGTTCTGACGCCCACTTGCCAGCCCATTCCAGAGGCCTATAGCTGTTCCCTGCTGGTTGAGAGTTGGGGGTTGGGAAGGATGGGGCCCTGCCTGGGGATTTCAAGGATAAAGCCCCAGCATGTGGGGGTTGGGGAATTCCACCCTTGAACCCCAGCAGACAATCCCTCCCCGACTTCCGCCTTGGCAGGGTGCTGCCTCGGGGAACCACAGTCAGCTTTGTGTAGAGACGGCAACAGAACTTGGCCCATGGAGACGGTGAGAGCCCAGCAGGCACCTGTATTGCAGGGCTCCGACTGCATATGGCAGGGGCTCCTGCTGCATTTGGGCCTAGAGGTCTCTCTCCCAGGCTGTCCCCAGTGTTCCTAGCAGAGGTCTGCCCACCAGCTGTCAGCACAGACCCTCCTGCTGCCTGGCCCCTGGCCCTCCTCCCCCATCTGCACCTCATCATAGGTAGACATCCCACCCTCCCATCTGTCCTGCACGGGGCTGTGCAACTGGAGCCAAAAGGGCAAGGTAGAAAGACGAGGATGGGGGAAGGGGTGTCTCAGCTTGTCTGGTGCTGTGATGCGGGTCCTTATCTAGCGAATGGGGTGGAGTAGGCAGATAATCCACAGCTCTATCCCCCAGGCGATGGTGTAGCATGTGTCTTGGCCCACACCTGCTCAGCTTGGAGGAGCAGCTGCTTTCCAGTGGTAGCCCTCTGGCTTTGGAAGGCTGGGACAGGGAACAGAGGGCGGCAGGACTGAGTTGGTGATCACTGTGTCCTTCGGGACCTTCTGTGTCCCTCCTCAGTGACCCCCAAGCCCAACCCCTTGGAAGCTTTTCTCCAGGCTTCCTGAGAGCCCTGGAGGTGGCAGGCTGTACATCTGAAATTCACTTCAGTCCAAATCATACCCAGGAAGCTGTCTGGGTAGCTGCTTCAGGGAGGCCCTGACTCTGATCCAAGGCTGGGTGGAGTGGCTGGAAGGAATGGTTCCAAACAATACATCCAGGTCTCCCTCAGGCTGGCCAGGTTTTGCATCTGGAATCCCCCTGGGGCCTGAGCCTTTCCATAAAGAATTTCCCCATGCTCCAGGGCTCATGATCTTGATGGGAGGGCAGGGTTGCAGGAGACAAGTCTTCCCCTCTTGTCCCAGGGTGGGGCAGGGAATTTCAAGCCCCAGGGAGCCAAGGGGCTGCTTTCAATTGTGGGTACCTGGTGATCAGGACAGGCTGTGGAGGGCTGAGGCCGTGCTGACATCTGGAATCATCTGCCACCCGGAGCCTCAGTAAAATGCATGGGGTCCCTGCTGCCTCTCAGTCTCCGAGTCATGTCCATGGGGAGGTGGGCTCTGAAGGGCTAAGGTGGGAGAAGGTAGCCCCTGAGGCCTGGTTATCCAAGGTGGGTCACATGCACCTGATTCTCCTTGGGGCCCAGGGAAGGCTGATGTCATGGCTGGAGAAAGTCTCGGAGTAAAGCCAGCAAAGCTAGCCTCTTCCTGTGCAGGAAGGACTGTACGGGCAGGACTGGGAAGTTGGGGGGCGCCTATGGTAGACATGGCACAGCCATGGGGAGACCAGAGGGGCGGTGCAGGGTGGACCTGGGGACCACAGCCCCAAAGACTGAGGCCCTGCAGCTTCCAGCTGCGCTAGAAGGTAGTTGGAGCAGGCCCAGACACTTGTTGTACACCCATGTAGGAGCATGAGGGCCACATTCTCCTGAAAGCCTCTGAAGAGTGGGCAAAGGTATCAGGAGAGCCGCAGCCTGGGGCCGAGCTCAGAAACAGCTGTCACCTCCGTCTGCACACAGGTGTGCACCCCAGGGTAGTGCCTGCAGGGGTGCGTGTGCCTGTGAGCCTCTACATCCCTGGGAGGCCTCAGGTGTGTGCCACGCTCTGAATCCCACTCCCCTTTTCAGGCAGGCTCCTTGGGGCCCAAGCTCTGCTCCATGGATCTGCCACCCAGCAGACGTGAGGAGCCTGACCCCATGCTTGTCATGGAGCCCTTCTTGCCTGGTGTGTACAGCTCCCCTCTTAGCTGGGCACCTGGATCCAGGCCCACCTGTGTCCCTGACTCAGGGTGCTCCCAGCTTTGCAGGGCCCCAGCACCTTTGATGTGGATTGGAGACAATCGCCTGGTTCCCTGGAGCAGGTGAAGACTCAGTGCCACAAAGAATGCCACAGTGGATGTGCCAGTAGGCCACATGGCTGGCCAAGCAATTATTATTATGGATTCCTGGGGCTGTGGGCCTTCCCATCCACCCCACCGCACCTGCTCAGGTAGCTGGAGTTGATCATAAACAAGAAGGCTCTGGGCAGAGTCCACGGCAGCAGTGCCAGCCAAGGCCCACTTCTGAAGGCCTGAAGTTCAGCCCCTGGGTGAAGGTCCTAAGATCCTGAGAACTTCCCAGCCTGGCCAGGCCTGCAAACCCAGGTCACCCACAACAGAAGGGGTCCCCTGGCTTGTCGGGCCCCTATGGCCTCCCGACCAGATGAGGGAGGACAGGGCAAGCGTGGACCAACCAGCTACTCCATACAGCCAGGCTCGTGGGCTGGCGCCTGGCTGGGGGGCTGCACAGCCTGCACTGTCTCCTCCAAGCTGCCCCTGGGGAATACCACGTAGCTTGTGGCGTTTGTCCCCGGTGGCTCCCGCCGGTTCTCCTTGCTGTGCCAGATGCCGTAGCCGAAATACACTGCAAGTCCTGCATAGGGCAGGAGGTAGGGCATGAGCCTGAGGTGCAGGTTCCAGCCCTTCCTGTCCTCCTTGCCCTCCTTCTGACCCCAGTCCCGGCCTGGCCCCCACTCACCCAGCAGCAGCCAGATGGAGAAGCGCACCCAGGTCAGATAGCTCAGCTTCAGCATGAGACAGATGTTGAGGAGGATGCTCAGGGCTGGGATCAGGGGCACCATGGGGATCTGAGGAGGCAGGGGCAGGGCAGTGCTGGGCTGGGCTACAGGAAAGATCCACCGGGGCAGGGCAGGGCAGGGCCGGGCTGCAGGAAAGATCTGCCAACCTAGGGCCCGCTTTCCCAGGAATCCACAGAGGCTTTCTCCCTTTCTGGAGACTTTGGAGACATGTGCTCACTCGCCATGCAGAAAGGGGAGCGAGATGGGTATGCCGTCCTCCCCAGGCCCGTGAGCCTTTTTCATTCTGGGATGGCAGTGGGGGAAGGGGAGGGAGCTGCCTGGGCCAAGCACAAGCAGGTGTTGGCTGGGGGAGGTACCTGAAACAAGTCTTCCTGATACTGTTGCTGGTGAGCCCCCAGGACCAGGAGGCTGAGCAGAAACGCGAAACTGGTGGCCAGCAGCAGCAGGATATAACCCCAGTGCGGGAGGTGCAGGGCTGAGTTCCCGAAGACGAGCACGAAGCCTAAGGTGATGACTGAGGCCAACATAACACCAGTCGCCCAAGTCACCACTGCTCCAGGGCTGTACCCATCCAAGAAGCCCAGGTAGGGCCTCAGGGCTGGCTGCAGCTCCCCTGGCTCAGGGATGGAGGCCTGTGCAGCGCCCACCAGCTGTAGGTGGTCTGAGAAGGATCTGTGCTGCTTGGTCAGGGGGCCAGGGCTGGCTGGGCCTGGGGAGCTGGGCGGGGAAGACTTCTGGTAGCGCAGCACAATGATGCTGGTGGCCACGAAGGTGTAGGCCAGGAGTGTGCCAATGGACAGGAACTGAACCAGTGACTCCAGGTCCAGCAGCAGTGCCAGGAAGGCTGTGAGGAGCCCGAACACCAGGGTGCCCACCACAGGCACCTGTGTCCGGGGGTGCACACGGGCAAACACCTGGAAGAAGAGCCCATCGACGGCCATGGCATAGACAATGCGTGGCAGAGAGAAGAGGAGGCTGAGCAGGACGGTGTTCATGGCTGTAGCAGAGAGAGTGGGGAGGGTCAGCGTGGCGGAGAAGCCCACCAGGGGCCTCTGCCGGGGGCCAGTGCATGGCAGCTCCTTGGGAACACGGGCGTGAGTTTGTCTGGGCTCTCAGAGTGAGCATGAGTGTGTGTAGGGGTAATAGATTGTCAGCGCTCTGCCCGGAAACAGGACGTCTGGGTTAGGTCGCAGGCCCACTGGAGCATCTAATGAGGGCTGAGTCCCCCTGCCTAGGAAATAATCTATAAGGATATGCCCAGAACTAATATACCAAGGACCATCTGTGGGAAGGTCTCTTCCAAAAAGTTTCTGAAGAAATTTCTGAAGTGAAGAGTTTCTAATAGTTAGCACTTTCCTTGCCCCACTATGCAACTGGTAAAACAGCCACAGTTGCCGGGCGCAGTGGCTCAAGCCTGTAATCCCAGCACTTTGGGAGGGCGAGGCAGGTGGATCACGAGGTCAAGAGATCGAGACCATCCTGGTCAACATGGTGAAACCCCGTCTCTACTAAAAATACAAAAAATAAAATTAGCTGGGCATGGTGGCGCATGCCTGTAATCCCAGCGACTCAGGAGGCTGAGGCAGGAGAATTGCCTGAACCCAGGAGGCGGAGGTTGTGGTGAGCCGAGATCGCGCCATTGCACTCCAGCCTGGGTAACAAGAGCGAAACTCCGTCACAAAAAAAAAAAAAAAAAAACACCCAAAGGTGAAGGGGGATTCTCCCAGTCTCAGGGCAGGGCCCCCCTAATCTTTTCCCTGCCACCCTGCCCAGGAAGGGTCCCTTACCACAGATGGAGCCAGCTGCCACGATGAAGCCAGCCCACCTGTAGCCCCGCCGGTAGAAGGCATCTGCCAGTGCTGAGTCAGGGTCCAGGCTGTGCCAGGGCACCATGAGAGTTAGCACAGTGGAGACAAGGATATAGGCACCAGCTGCCAGGGCAAGCGAGATGGCGATGGCCACAGGCACAGACCGCCGTGGGTTCTGGGCCTCCTCGCTGGAGGCGGCAATGACGTCGAAGCCCACAAAAGCATAGAAGCAGGAGGCAGTGCCGGCCATGACGCCGGAGAAGCCAAAGGGGGCAAAGCCACCTTCCTCAGCGCTCCAGTTGTGGGGCTGGGCCAGGATGAAGCCCAGGATGATAATGAAGAGAATGACAAGCAGGCTGATGGTCGAGAAGGTGTGGTTGAGCCAGGAGGAGACACGGGCTCCACAGGAGACAAAGGCAGAGGCCAGGAGGATGATGCCAGCAGCCAGGAAGTCCGGGTACTGGGCCAGGAGGGACATCTCCCAGGAACCCACGTGGGTCTCAGTGAAGTTCCGGATTCTGTGGCTAAACATAGCATCTAGGTAGCCACTCCAGGCGCGGGCCACTGCGGCGCCACCAATGATGTATTCAAGGAGCACATTCCAGCCGATGAGGAAGGCCCACAGCTCACCCATGGATACGTAGGTGAACAGGTAGGCAGAGCCTGTGCGTGGCACACGTGCCCCGAATTCTGCATAGCATAGAGCCGCCAGCAGGGAAGCCACAGCAGCCACACCGAAGGACAAGAGCACAGCAGGGCCAGCCATGTCCTTGGCCACGGTGCCTGTGAGCACGTAGAGGCCCGAGCCCACCATGCCACCCACACCCAGAAGAGTCAGGTCCAGCGTGGACAGGCAGCGCCGCAGTGAGGTGTCCATGGTGGAGTCTTCCAGTGGCTTTAGGCGGTTCAGCTTCTGGCATAAGCGTGCCAGGCTGGCAATGCTGGGCAGCCCCCGGGCCATGGCAGGTGGCTGAGAGGAGCACCGAGCCAGCTATTGGAACCTGTTAGGGCTAGAGGGGAATGACAGGATGCCCAGCCGTGGCCTGGCCAGACTTCCATCCCTCCTGGTCCGTCCACCCCCAGTCCTCTCTCCTGTCCACCCCCAGTCCTCTCTCCGTCCCGGCTCTGGGGACCTGGACCTGCGACCTGGACACCCGCACTGGGGGGCCTGCTGGAGGGCTGGAATAGGACAGGACAGGGCCTGTGGGCAGGGAGTCATAGGAAGCCTGGAGGCTCTGTCTGCATCCCAGGTGCAGAGGAGGCCTGGTGGGGCCCCACCTGCTCACCTCCTGAGCGGCCCTGAGGGTGAGGAAGGAGCAGCTCGAGGAAGTGAGAGGCTGGGAATGGATCAGTGGTGGGGTCCCAGAG